TTTATGTTCTCTATATTCTCCTATCTTTTTTCTAGTTTTCTATACTGCGTGTTACTTATATAAATATACCAGTATAAAAGAGCAGCCTCTGGCTTTACTACAACACACATGCTCACATGCTATAAGCATCCATTTGCTGGGTATCTGCATCAGATTGATTCAAATTCATGTTCTCATTTCTCCAGCCAATCTTTAAAACATCTGGCTAATGAGTATAAATTAGAACATTTTTCAGTTTATCAGTCATTGAATCTTCATGGAATATCCAGACAAATTTAAACACAAATACTATGAAAATAGGGCCACACGAGTGGAAAAGAAAATATCCAATACCTCATGATATTTATGTCATCAAAGGGAGTTCCAGAAGAAAAATCACTGAATGGCTAAGACAGCATTTTCTGAGTGGTTACTGTGTACCAATCACATGGACTCATTCATGTAATTCTCATCACAAGCCAAATGAAATGCATGTTATTATTCCCCCACTTACAGAAGAGAAAGCTGAGGTACAGTGTGTAGAGGTCAATATTGTAATCGTGACAAGTGCCAATTCTGAGGCTAGAAAGCCTGGCTTCAAATACCAGCTCTGCCGCTCCCTAGTAGTATGACCTTGAGCAAGTGACTTTGTACAAAGTATACAACTTCGTGCAGGGCAGTTTATCAATATTTGTTAAAATTACAAATGCACATGTTCTTTGTGCCAACAATTCCACTTGTGCAGAAGGCAGAGTGAACTTCATGGGAGTGTGACCAGAGCAGTCACACAGGGCCCCATGCTTAGAAGGGGACACTGTGTTTAGGGTTTTAATGCTCTTTGTCACCAACTTCAAATTCTTAATAATTTCATCTTTCAATTCGTGTTTTGTAAGTGAAGTTCTCTGGGACACTAGAACATGTGATAGGGGCTTGGAGCCTAGGCTCTTGCTTCTTACACTTCTCAGCCTCCCCAGGACTGGTTTTCAGCTGCCCTCCTCCCAGGAATCATTGCCACCCTCTGTGCCATCCTCCTCCCAGCAGGGACCTAGGTACAGGGAAGGAAACAAGATAGGTCAGGCATACACACCTGTCTTGCCACGTTCAAGGGCAGGACCCTAGGCACTTGTGAAGGACTGCATTTGACCCCTAAGTATCACTGTGCCTGAAGAAGTGCAACATTAAATAGCAAAAACAAACAAACAAACAAAAAAGTTACCATGACATTTAGAGACTGAAACTGAAGAAGAAAGGAAAAAGTTTTCTCCTGCATTTTGTACTGGGCCCCTCAAATTATGCAGCTGGCCCTACTAGAGTGATATTAATTGCCAAATTATATGTAAGAGCAAAAAGTTTGAAAATAATGGCCTGGCACTCATTGACTTGTTCCTCAGGTAACATGTAACTAGAATATAGCTGCAATAAAACTGGAATATCACTTTTATGAAGGCAAGAACTTTGTCTTGCTAAGAGTTTTATAATCAAGGTCTAATAAAAAGCTTAATACATGACATTTGCTGTTAAATATTTATTAATATAAATTAATTGAATACATTTTTATTTCAACCTGGTAAAATAAATATTTAAAAAATTTAAACAATCTAAATAGCTTGGGAAATTAGTTAAATAATACATTCATGCAATAAAATATTGTGTAACTGTATAAAATAACAACTATATTCTTTAGGCACTGATGTAGAAAGATGTCCAGCATGAAGTGTTGCTACCATTTTTTTAAACAAAAGTTGGAGGCTATGGGAAGTGCTAGTATTAGTCTTTATCTGCAGTGACTTTCTCCTGGAGCTCCCTCTAGTGGCATACATGTGGAAGAATTCAGAGAAAACATAAATTGGCTCCAGATGGCTGGGAGGGAGTATTTCAAAGTACGTAATATGTTACCTTTTGGATTTTGGGATAGAATCAAATGTACAAACAAATAAATAAGAATCAAATTTTTAAAGTATATGAGAGCTATATTATATATTAATGTGGAATTAAACGTTGTTATATAAACAACAAAAGAAGCAGAACAGTATTTCTATTATTTGTATATGATATATACTTTACACTAATCTGGAAAAGCTTATGCAGTACTGTTATTAGGTAACTACCTGGGTAAACTACCATTTGTTTTTGTTTTTGTTTTTGTTTAGGCGAGGCAACCCTTGGTTGACCTCACAGATTGCAAGGACCTTGTCAGCTCACAATCCCATATATTTTATTTTTTACGCCTACAGCACCTGGTCTTCCTAGGTGGTCTCCCATCCAAGTACTAACCAGGCCCAACCCTGCTTAGCTTCTGAGATCAGACAGGATCGGGCTTGTTCAGGGTAGCATGGCCATAGATGCTACCATTTGCTGAGTGCTTACAGTTTCACATAGGAACAGCATATTAACTAACATACACATTCATTGTTATTTACAGTATGTCAGTTTGCATACATGACTGTGTATCAGACATGGTGAGAGATGCAGATTAAATGAAATTACTGAGGAGTGCAGTGCACTCAAGAAACAACTTGAAGATACTTCCAAGATCCCATAAGATATGCTAAACAAAATCAATTTCATAACTTTTAAAGGCCTAAGGAAATAACCATCTCTGATCACACAGGGCAGTTTCTCCTCTTAGACACATCTACATCTTGCTCTATGCCTAGCAAAAACTGAATGTTCCTATATGCCAGATATCTGTAAATAGAAACACTGTGGACTTTGGTTTTGCTAGTCCCCTCTCCCCTTCCCTTCTTCACATCACCTTTGCCAAAGAACAGTCGTCCAAGAGACTCTTTGCCCAGCTTCAAGAATCCACTCCCTTTACAGAGATTTGAAGCAGTTGAGTACATGGAGGTGAATGAGGTCTGCTCTTCAGAAGTGAGTAGTACAGTGATCACAAAGTGCCGATTCTGAAGCTAGAAAGCTTGACTTCAAGTCCCAGTTCTGTTACTCCTTAGTGATGTGACCTTGAGCAAGTGATTTAACTTCTGTTGTGCCTCACTTTTCTCATCTGTAAAGTAAGAGTGATAATTGTTTAACATTAATTTTACTGCTGTGAGGGTTAAATGAGTTAATACACATAAACCACTTAGAACAGTGGCACATGGAAGCATTTGGCCAGGTGTTTTTTGGTATTTGTGTTTTTCCACAGATGCTGTTCTTCAAAGTAGCCTTGATTGTCTAGCTCCTGACTCTCTCCCCCAATGCTCCATCTCATTCTGGCCTCTCATCCAGCTTTTGACAACTGGACTGGTGCTGCGTAATTTCAAGCACCATATGACCCCTAAACACTGCCCAGGAAAGCATCTTGTGCATAACCCACCTACCTGAATCTGAACATGCATCATGAAGGAAGAGCACTACAGGACATTTTAGGTTCTAGACCAAGAGCATCCCTGCTTCAGAGGAAGTCAAGCATGCTCACCCGTTCACCTCTCCTGACCTTGACTTTCACCCTCACAGCTCCAGAATATCCAACCAGCTTGTGCCCAAACTCCAGCTGCTTTGCATGGAGAAAGAATAAGCAACTCCTAGACTCATCTACCAGAGTCTGTCCTTCTAGCCCCTGATGCTCATCTCAGACAAAAACAGAAAACATATGTTCCAGTCATACATACATATGTCATACTGCACTACTGAGCATTTGAAACATGGCTGGTACAATCAAAGAACTGAATTTTTAATTTTATTAAATTTTAATTCAAATGGCTGCTGTGGCTAGTTATTACTGTATTAGACAACATGGTTTAAGTTGTCCGTCCAATTCTTTATTATTATTATTTAATGAGATATCCTTGCTTTAAGATTGGAAAATATATTTTTCAAACTTGGTGCTGATGCTAGTCTCATCTTTCAGTGATCAGCTGATCTCAGGAGGTAAAGAAAAAAGTCATATTTCCATTCCAGATCTTACTTTCCCCTATGACACTGAAGAAATCATAAAGCGATGCCAAGGCTGGAGGGACATGTCTTGGTTGCTGGCTTTGTCCTTATTGGCTGTGATGACTGACAGCTGCTGACCTTGCTAATAATCCTCTTTCCTCCATGCTTGCCTCTCTAAGCACAAGTGGCATCAACTCCCAATGTTAAACGTAGTGGGGGGCACATCCCAAGATGTGCCTCTATGGGATGCAGATTGTTTGAGCTAAAGGCAACCAAGACCCTGTGGGCTCAAGAGAAACTTCTGCTGTCCCCTAAACCACCTCGAGAATTTGAATTAGGGTCATGTCCATAATAACAGATTATCAGAGATAACCTTATTTTTTTAGCTATCTATAGAGCAGGACAAACTTCTAATTACTAAACATCTGCTCTTCTCCTCATCCTACAATGACCCTTTGAAGCTTCAAGGCACCTCACCTCATCCTTAGCTCAGAATGCCATATATACCTCATTTTAACTTTCTGTTCCTTTCATGCGTGTGGGGTCTCTGACTCTCTCACATATACAGAGTTCCCATACATATGTGTGTAATTAAATTTGGTCATTTTTCTCTTGTTAATTTGTCTCATGTATATTTGATTATTAGACCAGCCAGAAGAATCTTGAGGGTAGAGGAAAATTTCTCCTCCCCACTTTGCCAACAAACTCATGACTTACCTAAATGTATTCTTTGGGAGCAAGGAGCTAACTAAGCCCAAACATATCACACATCCAAACTGTAAGAAAGGGAGTTTGGATTTGCAGTAGGAGAAAGGGAAGCTAGACATCAAGAAGAATGGCTTGGTAATGACAATTATGAGAAAGTAGAAATAGAAAAACAAGTCTAAATGTTCTTTCTTTTTTAAAAGCCAGCAATGATCCCTCTCCTTTGGCTAATATCAGCAAGACAGGGGTTGAAGGAAACTTACAGATTACATGTATAAGCCTCTTCCTGAGGTCCAATGAGTAAGCGGTCTCAGTCCCAATTAGTCATATCCTAGAAGTCCCCTCAAAGGCTGGTTTACTGGGAGGGAGTGGGGGAGGAAGGCCCAGTACCAGGCAGCCTCTGCTCCATAGCTCTGAGGGGGTGGGGAAAGCAAACTCTGGTCATTCCCCGGGTCTGTAGCCCTATTGTGTAAGTGCCTGGCAAGGATGACATGGGGCTTTTCCTCTGAGCACAGCTGCAAGCATGGCCAGGAGGAGGCAGGACCTGGGAACACTGCCCTCCCAGATCCTTCCGGGCTTTTTCAGTGGTAGGTGACATGCACCCTGAGGGCTTCCATTCGGTCTGACTCTAGTGCAGGGGCTTTCTGTCCCCAGTGAAAGTAGAGATGGCAAGTTTCTTGAGCTCCTTTCTACCCAGCTGCCTCCCCTGCCTCCTTCTTCTTCTCCAGTTGTCTTCCAGTTATGCAGGTAAGACTGATCTTTATTCCTTTCCCAGGGAGACCCTGAGAATAAAAAAGCTAGTTTCCCTGGGCTCACCCCCTTCAATTCATCCTCAAGTTGCTATATAAATTATTTTTCTGAAACACAGATGTGCTGACATTGTTCTCCTCCTCCGAAAACTTCAATGGCTCCCTACAGCCTTCAGAATAGAACCCTAACTTCATAATATGACCTTAACTCCAGGCTTTCCTTGAACTCATTGTTACCTATTTTTTTTAGCTTTGGTTTCTCACCTATCACATGGGGATATAATAATAACAACCTCTTGGAGTTGCTGTCAGCATTCAGTAAGATGAGGTACCTAACATGCTTATGTAGCGCCTGTCCCGTAGTAAATCTTGATCAATGTTTGTTGGATTGTAGTATCTTGTCATGTTTGTAAGTTCTATTCTGCATGATTGGGCACTAGTAAGTTTCTGAAGAAGTGCCCTGTACTCTTATGTTGGGGAGAAATAAAAGAAATAACAGACAGATTACCAACTTCAGGGAGCTACCTAACAGAGGAGGCCCAGTCCCCACACTCCCTTGGAAAACCTTTGCAGGTGTAATGAAGAAACTAGCATTATGGTCTAGTAGCTCAGAGTCTAGCTGAGGAGACACATTCCATGTAAAAAAGACTGTGAGCATGTACAGGGCAGTGTCCAGGAGCTGTAGTGAGGACTGGAGGTACAGAGGAAAAGAAGAAGAAAACAGAGCCACTTCTGGGGTGCAAGGTCTCAGGGGAGAAGAGTTTGTGAATAGGGTTGGAATAAAGACAGAGAGCTGACAGGAAAGCTCAAGGGAGAATTAACTGTGAGATGCTAGATCGCATTCCAGGGTGGGACCTGAAGGCCAGACTAAAGAATCAGAGATGGATACAGCTGGCAGAAAGGTGAGCAGCCACTGTCCAGATGATCACACACCATAATTTTCTGTCCAGGGCTCTTTCCATAACTAGAAACTTTTTATTTATATAAATATTCAAGAAGAAAAACTGAGCTCTTTCTTGGCTCTAGAATGCCATTTAAAATGTTTATTCAAAACTCCATTTAAAATGAGAGTATCTTCTTCCTTTCCTGTTTGGAAGAAGCCCTTCCCATGACTGCTTGTTTTTCATGGTTCCCTCTGATGCTGTTTCTTTTCTTTGGTGTCTTGGACAGGACAGTTCAGAGTAATAGGACCAGGGCACCCCATCCGGGCTCTGGTGGGGGATGAAGTGGAATTGCCATGTCGCATATTTCCTGGAAGGAATGCTACAGGCATGGAGGTGGGATGGTACCGGCCACCCTTCTCTCGGGTGGTTCATCTCTACCGAAATGGCAAGGATCAGGATGGAGAGCAGGCACCTGAATATCGGAGCCGGACGGAGTTGCTGAAAGAGACTATTGGTGAGGGGAAGGTGACCCTCAGGATCAAGAATGTAAGGTTCTCAGATGAAGGAGGGTTCACCTGCTTCTTCCGAGATCATTCTTACCAGGAGGAGGCAGCAATGGAATTGAAAGTGGAAGGTGAGTAGTGCCATATAATACTGGGTATTATTTGTTGGGTGGCCAAGACCTCCCTTTGAGACTTTAGTCGTTCTCTTACTTGAGATGAGATCCTTCAACTCAAACGTCTCACTCCTGGGAATCAATTCCGTAGAAGTATGTACATCAGTACAGAGGCATTTATACATATACTCCCAAATGTATGTTGCATCATTATTCAGAATGGGAAAGACCTAGAATCAAAGTCAATGCCCATGAGTAGGGAAGTGACTAAATGTTGTTATCCATACTAAGAAATTATACAGCTACTAAAAAGATTGTTTTAGGACTGTAGCAGATGGCTTGGGGGCATTCCACAAGGTATTGTTGAGTGATAAAAACAAGCTACACAATGTAGAGAACAAAAACAAAACCTTGTATTTGTGAATATATATATAATGAAAAGAGATCCATAAGAAAGTTAACATGGTTCACTTTGGGGGAAGAGGGGAGAGGAGAGAGGATGAGGTGTGATCTAACAAAAGAAGATAAAAGAAAATATCATAATTATCCATATGATTATATCTATCCACTCATATAAAAATATATAATATATACATTTGTAGGTACATATAGAGAAAAATTAAAGAAAAAATTTTAAGAAATAAAATAGAAAAAAATGATAAATGGAAGAAGCAAAATCCAAAATGATCAATTTCTGATTCATTTATGCTACTAGAGAATATGAATAACCTGAAAGTTAATCTATCCAAGTAGATTTTTTCCTTCTTGTTTTGCTTTGGAATATCTTTTTATTTATTTGTTGTAAACAAGAAGATTATTCCTAAAGAGTTAAATTGATCAAATCCAATGTGTTTGTGGTGTTTTATTATGTGAGAAACATTATTGAAAAATATATTCCTGGTCAACATAGTTGAAGTGAATAAGTAAATCAAACAAATATCTGAATATAACCATAGAAAGAAAGAAATGTCACCTTTAGATTTAACTTCCACCAGTTCCCTTCTCCAGAATTTTGTTTCAGTATGTTTTATGCAATGGATGACTTTGAAAAGTTTGTTTGTTTGTTTTATACCAGGATGGCTAAGATGTGGACAAGGTGAAGTGGATGAAGGGCTTTAAAAGTTAAATGCTGTTTAATTGAAGAACAAAAATGTTCTGAGAGTCCTTTCCCTTTCCCTCCTTCCTTCCTCCCCATCTGCAGCAAAACATCAGAAATCCATCAGACAATCAATCACTTTTGTATCTTGAGGGTGACTGTTACAGTGCTGGGACCAGAAGAGGCATTGTATGCAGGATAACAAAGAGCTATTTCTAAAGACAGATTGCAGGGATATGAAAATAGCTTTGTATGTCACAGAATGTTCTTCATACAGCTGTTTTTATTGGGGGATTTTTACCTGCACAGAAGTCTGATAGTGAAGACATCTCCAATTGGCAGATTTTCCTCCTTCCTATTCAATAATTCTCTAGCTCAATATACTGCCTTCTCAGTATACCCTACCCCAACCATACTGAAAAGAGAAAGAAAGAAAGAGAGAGAGAGAGAGATAGAGAGAGAGAGAGAGAGAGAGAGAGAAAGAAAGAAAGAAAGAAAGAAAGAAAGAAAGAAAGAAAGAAAGAAAGAAAGAAAGAAAGAGAGAGAGAAAGAAAGAGAGAAAGAAAGAAAGTAAAAGAAAGAAAGAAAGAGAAAGTAAGAAAGAAAAAAGAAAGAGAAAAGTTACCTAAAAATTTTGCCTCAGGAAAGGAAATTTTACTTTGTATTGGTTTCCACACTCCTCTTCCTCCCATCTCATAGTCTGCATGCCTAAGTGTCTATAAAAAGAGTGTTTCACAACTAAACAAGGGACCACTTAGCCTGGGGAGCTGGGGAGCAGAGGCAAATTTAGGACTGAAATGCAGTAACTGTATTATTGCAAGTTTCAGATGTCATTACCTCTCTACCTTCTCTAAAGAATTTTGCTGTCTCCCATTTTTTTCTTGTGATTTTTGTGACTTTATTAGTAGTTGTCTCTAATCCTTTTTACAAACTCTTCATTACAGAACTTTAAAACACACACAAAATAGAGAGAATAATAATAATGAGCTTCCAGGTACCCATTACTGCCTGCAACAATTATGGACCAAAAGACAACCTGTTTCAACTGACCCCACTCATTATCACCCTCTGCAACTGAATTAGTGAAACAAATCCTAGGCAGCATTATCATTTCATTGCTAAATTCTCAAGAATGTATCATTCAAATATAAGAACACTTTAAAATAATCACAATACTATTATGATATCTTTAAAAGTTAACAAAAATTCTTTAATATCATCAATATTGTCATCTCTACTTAACAGGTGAGGCAACTGAGGCTTGGAGAGTTCAAGTCAGTGCCTGAGCTGGGATTCAAACCCAGGCTGCCTACCTCATTGATCAGGTTCTTTCTGCTCACTCCTGTGGATAGAAGGCCTTATTCATGTGGGAAGAGTAGTAACTGAGTTTCTGGGATGAATTCAAGGGGAGAAAAAAAGACCCCAAAATAATTTTGTTCTTCAATTAAACAGCAATATTTGAACAATCTGTGTTCAAATTTTCCTAATTGTTTCATAAGTATGTTTTTACAATTGGTTTGTTTGAATTGGATCCAAACAAGATCCACATGTTGGTGTTTGCTCTGTAGTGTTTCCCATGGTCTATATTTTGCTGATTTCATTCCCATATTATTTAACACAGTGCTCCATAACCTGTATTTTCTGTAAACTAATAGATTGAAGATGCATGTTCAGATTTAAGTTTGATTTATTTTGTCAAGTATGCTTCTGTAGGTGATGCTACATACTTCTTATTTTACATTAGAAGGCTCCTAATGTCTATTCTTTTTGTGATTGTTCAAGTACACAAGGTGTGCAAAATAAAAGAACTAAAGTGTGTACTTGCTAAATCATGTTGCTATAGGTAACTTCTGATAAGAACTTGAAAGTAGAGTTTGCTGCATTTTCTTCTATGATTGCATTTAAACCTAAGAAACCTTCCTGGACCCACTTAATGTTGCTTGCTGTGACTTAATCCCTACCTTTAATGACGATGCCTTTATCTAGCCCCATAAAGCAGAGAACAAGATGAAAAGGACTTGATTCGCAGCATGGCACATGGGAATTAGGCAGGCAGAGCTTGGGGACACTGAGGAGCAGATTCTATAATGGGAAATAGGCGGGAACCAGACGGTGGAATCCCCTCCCTCATTACCCAACCCACTCCACATTCACTCAGTTACCAAATTCTGTGGATCCTCCTTTCTCAAATGCTCCAGAAAAGGGGTTCTTAATCCTTCTGTGTTATGTACCCCTTTGGTGGACTATTGAAGTTGATGGATCCTTCTTAGAAAGATGTTTTAAATGCATAAAACTTGGTACTGAAATAGTTACCAAAATATTAAAATGATAAGATATGGAGTGGCCCTGATAATTAGTGTAATTTTAAAATAGTGATGAATATAAGTAATATTTTGAGATTTCTACAACTCCACGTGATATGAAAATATTTGTGCTTTTCATTGATGACAAAGTCACAGGTTTTGTTCATATTATTGTGGTGTTTTGCCTACAAATATAGTAGAAACACTAAATTCCAGTTTAAAGGTTACCGAAAAGAAATGTGTACTTTTTCCCTATTTAAGTTCACAGACCCCTCGACTTCCTACATCTCTACCACTGTCCTGCTTCAGGATGCTGTTGTTTTTTACTTTCACTCTTACCATGGCCTCTTAACTGACCTCCCTGGGAGTCTCCTCTAGTCCCCGAGCCAGTAAATCGGAACTTAGCACTCCTCAGCTTGCAGTGTGCAAAAGTACCACCGTGGCCTTGAGGATCAGATCTAAGTCCCTTAGCTGGTTCTTGAAACTCTCCAAGATTAGCCCAATATACAACTTTGAATCCTGTTTTTCTAAACCTCTAGCCCCTCTTAGAAACCAGTATTCCTTCAAGGCTAAGATCAGGTGTCAATTTTGTTATCTTCTTTGAATCTTGGTGATATTCATTTTTTTATTCAACCTGATTTATCGAGCCCCAAGCACTGTGCAGGGAGTGGAGGATACAGTGCTGGGCCTGCCGGTTCTGGTTTCAGATCCCTTCTACTGGATCAACCCTGGAGTGCTGGTTGTCATCGCAGTCCTGCCTGTGCTCCTCCTACAGATTGCTGTGGGCCTTGTGTTCCTCTGCCTGCAACACAGACTGAGAGGTACAGACTGAAGGGTGGGCAGCTTAGGATCCATCCCTGAAATGAGCTGTTTTCTTAAAGCTTAGTCAGCTAACATTTATTTTTTGAGTGTATTCTGGGCTCAGAATTCCTTAATGGCAAGTTTTACATCGTACTGAATGCTTTAATATGGATAATGGGAACTTCCATCTCCCTATGAGGTAGGGTAACATGTAATAGTCCCATTTTACAGAGGAGGCAACTAAGGCCTGAAGTGGTTTCATGATTTACTTAAACTGACAGCTTGTAAGTGGCAGAGGTCAGGCCCAATCCCATCCTCTGACCCCTGTACCATATCTAGCAGTTTTGTGCAACTGGGAGAGTGTGAGCTTCAAAGTCACACAGGTCAAAGCTATTACAAAGTTTAAATAAAAATATTGTAAGCAAAAGACCCTACCACATAGGTATTCAAAAACTGTTTCCTCCTTCTTTTCTTCTTCTGTTCATTTTTTTTAATTTATTTTTTTTAATTGAAGAAATTATTTAAATTGTTTTTTCCCCCGTCTACCTCCCCCTTTTCCTCTCCCCACTCCCTTCTGATATCACTAGTCCATTGTCTATGTCCATGAGTCTCTGTTTGTCCTGTTCATTTGTTACTTTTAGGTTTATCTCCCACATATAAGTGAAATCGTGTGATTTTCAACTTTTTCTGTCTGGCTTATTCTGCTTAGCATGAATATCTCAAGGTCCATCCACATTGTCACAAATGGCAGTATTTCATCTCTTCTTAAGGCTGAGTAATATTCCATTGTATATTCCATTGTATCACAGCTTCTTTAGCCAATCATCTATCATAGGACACTTCAGTTGCTTCCATGTCCTGGCTACTGTGAATAATGCTGCTATGAACATCAGTGTGAGTGCTATTTTCCATAGCGGCTATACCAATTTGCACTCTCACAAGCAGTATATGAGGTTCCTTTTTCTCTGCATCCTCTCCAACATTTGTTATTACTTGTCCTATTGATTAAGGCTATTCTAACAGGTGTGAGATGGTATCTTATTGTGGTTTTGATTTGTATTTCTCTAATAGCTAGCAATGTTGAGCATCTTTTCAAATATTTGTTGGCCATTTGTATGTCCTCTAGGGAGAAGTGTCTGTTCAAGTCCTCTGCCCATTTTTTTGATTGGATCATTTGTTTTTTGTTGTTATTAAATTGTATGAGTTCTTTGTACGTTTTGTATGTTAGGCCCTTATCGGAGGCGTTGCTTGTAAATATATTTTCCCATTTGTCTCTTTACCTTGTTGACGATTTCTTTTGCTGAGCAGAAGCTTTTTAGTTTGATGTAGTCCCCGTTAATTGATTTTACCTTTTACTTGCCTCGCCTTTGAAGTCAAATTCATACAATCCTCTTTAAGTCCAAGGTCCTTGAGTTTAGTTCCTATGTTTCTTTCTATGTATTTCATTGTTTCAGATCTTATATTCAGATCTTAATCTATTTTGAGTTACTTTTGGTGTGTGGTGATAGATAACAGTCTACTTTCGGTGTGTGGTGATAGATAACAGTCTAGTTTCATTCTTTTGCAGGTGGCCTTTCAGTTTTCCCAGCACTATTTATTGAAGAGGATTTCCTTTCTCCACTGCATGTTTTAGGGGTTTTTTTATCGAAAATTATTTGTCCATATAAATATGGATTTACTCCTGGACTCTCGATTCTGTTCCACTGGTCTGTGTGTCTGTTTTGCTGTCAATACCATGCTGTTTGATTATTGTCACTTTGTAGTATAATTTGAAGTCGAGCAGAGTGATGCCTCCAGCCTCATTCTTTTTCCTCAGGACAGCTTTGGCAATTTGGTGTCTTTTGTGCTTCCATACAAATCTGATGATATTTTGTTCCTGGGATTTTGATGGGGATTGCATTAAATCTGTATGATGCTTTACGTAATATAGTCATTTTAACTATGTTGATTCTTCCAATCCAAGAACATGGAATATCTTTCCATTTTTTTTTATATCTTTGATTTTTTTTAATAGGGTCTTGTAGTTTTCATCATATAGGTCCTTCACTTGTTTCATTAAATTTATTCCTAGATGTTTTATTCTTTATGTTGCAATTTCAAAAGCAATGATTTTTCCACTTCTTTTTCTGTCACTTCATTATTAAAATATAGGAACGCTATGGATTTTTGAACGTTGATTTTGTATCCAAAAACTTTACTGTATTTGCTTACTGTTTCTAATAGTGTTCTTGTGGAGTCTTTAGGGTTTTCTATATAGAGAATCATGTCATCCACAGATAGTGACAGTTTGACTTCTTTGTTTCCTACTTAGATGACTTTTATATCTTTCTCTTGCTTGATTGCACTCACTAAGACCTCCAATGTTATATTGAATAAGAGTGGTGATAGTGGACAGCTTTGCCTTGTTCCTGATCTTAGAGGGGAGATTTTTAGTTTTTTACCATTGAGTATAATGTTGGCTGAAGGTTTGTCATATAAGGCCTTTATTATATTAAGGTATTTTCCTCCCACACTGATTTTAAGTGTTTGATCATAAATGGATGCTGTATCTTGTTGAAGGTGCTTTCTGCATCTATTGATATGATCATATGATTCTTAATTTTTAATTTGTTTATGTGGTATATCACATTAATTGATTTGCCTATGTTGAACCATCCCTGTGCTCCTGGGATGAAGCCCACTTGATTGTGGTATATAATATTTTTAACATGCTGTATTTGCTTTGCTAGTATCTTATTTAGGATTTTTGCATCTGTGTTTGTGAGAGATATCAGTTTGTAGAGTTTTTTTATGTGTGTGTTATCTTTACCAGGTTTTAGTATCAGGGTGATATTGGCTTCATAAAAATGTGTTGGGAAGTATTGCCTCCTCTTTGATTTTTTGGAAGGATTTGAGGACAATAAGTTTTAAATCTTCTTTGAATGTTCGGTAGAATTCACTAGTGAAGCCATCTGGTCCTGGACTTTTACTTTTTGGTAGATTTTTGATGATTCTTTCAATTTCCATACTGCCGATTGGTCTATTTAGGTTTTCCAGTTCTTGATTCAGTCTAGGAAGGTTGTATTTTTGAAAGTACTGAACCATTTCTTCTAGGTTTTTAAATTTGGTGTTATATACTTTTTCATAGTATTCTTGTATGATCCTTTGTATTTCTGCAATGTCAGTTGTAATTTCCCCTCTTTCATCCCTGATTTTGTTTGTGTCTTTTCTCTTTTTTCTTTAGTGAGTCTAGCCAGGGATTTGTCAATTTTATTAACCTTCTCAAAGAACCAGTTCTTTATTGCATTAATTTTTCTTTTTTTGTGTGTGTGTTCAATTTCATTTAATTCTGCTCTAATTTTGATTATTTCTTTTCTTCTGACGATTTTAGGCTTCATTTGTTCTTCCTTTTCTAGTTTTTTTTAAGATAGCATTAGGTTGTTTATTTGGGCTCGTTCTTGTTTTTGGAGGTAGGCCTGTGATGATATGAACTTTCTCCTCTTATGACTACTTTTTCGGTGTCCCAAAAGTTTTGATATGTTGTACTATCATTATTATATCATAAAGAAGATTTATTATATAATATTCCCTAGCTTGTTGCAAAGAAGGTGTTTTTCTTTTGGTTTCCAGTAGATGGTGTATAAGCCTCTTGACTCTCTGCTTTATATAAAGTCTTAATAATGTCTTTTTTTTCCTTATGGATGTTTGATCATACTTGCTACCCTCAGTCTCAGTTCTTGTCAGTGTTAATGACAGTTTCTGTAGCATTTGCTCAGATTCCCCTAGAGTTCTGCAGCATTCCTTCTCAGAGGGTATGGGGGAGGGGCCCTCTGGGTTGGGGGATGGGGGCTGCAGCTTGACTTCAGCTTTGCAACCATGTCTGGTAAAAATCAACTGTTGTTTCTCTGCAGTCCCTGTTTTTCTGCCGTCCCGCTTCTCTGCTTTCTGCCCAGAGGACCAGGCCCTGCCACAGGCTGCGCGGAACTTGCAACTTCCCCGGGCAGGGCTATTCAAGGAAGTTGCCGCACCTTATCCCCTCCCACTCCCCCTCCCCTTACAGGGAGCTCCAGCAGCTGCAAGAGGAACTTCTTTATTTCTCCCAGTCCACCACCCGATTCCCAGGGTTCTGACCTGTGGTAGCTCTTATGCACAGATCCCATGCTCAGACGTGCTTTTGTGCAATTGGGTGGTTTTTTTGTTGAGTTTTACATGTTCAGCTTATTGTTGTTTCAAGGGGAGAGATCCAGGGACGTTTCTCACTCTGCCATGTTTCTGATGTCTTCCTCCCTCCTTTTTTTCATTCAACACTAAGGACTCAGGTTCAGCTGCCGATAAAGCTCCTCTTTTGTGCCCAGAGTTTCCATTCTGAGTCTTCTCCTCCCACCAAGTGTTCTTCTCAAAACCAAAGCACTCAGAACCCTAATTCTTCTCTTCCCCCTCTCACTCCTAAGAAGATAAAGCAGCAAGGAGGGCTTGGTCTATGTGAGGGGGGATGTTGGTAGGATCAACAATGGGGTCTTTTTTTTTCTCCCCTTGAATTCATCCCAGAAACTCAGTTATCTACTCTTCCCACATGAATAAGGCCTTCTATCCACAGGAGTGAGCAGAAAGAACCTGATCAATGAGGTAGGCAGCCTGGGTTTGAATCCCAGCTCAGGCACTGACTTGAACTCTCCAAGCCTCAGTTGCCTCACCTGTCAAGTAGAGATGACATCCTCCCTCCTAAACTGTAAGGGAGGATTAAAGGGGATAATGTTATGTAAAGTGCCTAGTACAGAGCCCCTCACAAAGTAGCTGCTCAACTAAATGTTTAGTTCCTCCCTTCCTCATTCAGATGGGAAGTGGCTTTATATTTACAAAGTGACAACCCAGCAGGGTGGAGTGGCAATGTGAACTGAGAACCACCTAGAAAAGGAGCAAAGAGCAGTGGGGAAGATAATAATAAAACCTGGTTGGTTTGGGGCATTGCTCTCTACCAAGGCTCTCCACATTCTTTACCCCAATATTTAATCCAGACAACAGCCAAAAAAAAAAAACACCTGGCTCCAAATCCAGTGCCCTTCCCACCAAAAGGATCTCCTGGGCTGGGCAGTAACAGCCTATACAAAGGCCCAGGGCACTGGGTGTGGAAGGGGCCCACCTAATGCCGGAGCAGAAACTAAAAATGTTGACTTTTTCTATTTTAGGAAAACTTCGAGCAGAGATAGGTGAGTTCCAGGCACCTTCCCTCCTCAATCCCTCCCTTCTGGTCTTTTAGCATAACCAAAATGGTCATTTTCCCAGACCATCTTTGCCTTTATCCCAATACCCTGTGCTCCCTTCAGGTGGGAAATTTACTCTTTAAAACTCTCAAAGAGCTGAGAATTGTAGAAAATCTTATTCCTCTTCCCTGATGCCAGCCAGGGTAGGCACAAAATTCTACAGTTTCCCTCCCTCCATCATGTGTCACTGTGTCAAGACTAGAAACAATTTTAAGTGATTATATAACAAAGATTCAGAGGAGAAAGTATCTCCCTTTGAGTGCCTATTAAGTCCCTCTCTGTTTGTTCCTCTTTCAGAGAATCTCCACAGGACTTTTGGTAAGTGCTGGGGTACCCAGCACTCCCAGGTCAGTTTGATGTTTCACTCAGTTCCAATTATCTGAGGAAATAAGGACCCCTGGCTCCTGATTGCTCTCCTCCCTCTTTTTCTTTCTTTAAATAAGTCATTTGCATCTAGGATTGGTAAGATAGGAAATACAAACATACATTTTTATGTGTCAGGCACTAAAACCTTCACCTGTTAACTCATTACAAGCACTGTATGCACACTATTTCTCTTTTCAGGAAATACAAAGGGGAGGTAGACAGATTCTTTGCACATATACTTGATATCTAGTTGAGGAGGTGATACATACACATGAAGTAGCTGAAGAACAAAGTACATATGTATTATTAACTGAACTCATGTAGTGGTATTTTCATAGCTACAGAATGAGTAAACTATACATAACTAATCTGGGAAGGCTTCTTGGAGGAAGAGTGAAGACAAGACACCAAGCTCCACTAAGATGTTGTTCGGGTCCAATAACTTGTCATGTCAAAATAGGGATAAACATAAGCAATATTTTGAGATTTCTGCAACATGTTAAAAAAAAAAAAACCTATATGGAGAGGGGTGGTTGGGCATAAGGGGGAACACTGTTAATCCTGTTTGTTCTGTGGTGAACAATTCAGATCCTCACTTTCTGAGGGTGCCTTGCTGGAAGATAACCCTGTTTGTAATCGTGCCAGTTCTCGGACCCCTGGTTGCCCTGATCATCTGCTACAACTGGCTACATAGAAGACTAGCAGGTGCAGTGGTGGGGCAGCAAACAGGACCACCCATGAGTGGGGGACCCAGTCAGTCCTGAATGGGAAACAAAAAGATAAACCAGGGCTCCAGATTCGGAGAGCCAGGATTTCCTTCTTCTTCTGTCCCCGTGGCCAACCCCAGGCTCCTCAGAGAAGCCATGAAAAGAACCACTTATTGGGATTTGCGGGACACCTTAGTGAAAAGGGCGGGGGGAGGATCCCTGTGAATCTGCAAAAGGAGGATGTGGGGAGGGAGCTAGTCAGCTTCCACCAATCACCTATTTCTCTTTGTTTTCAGGCCAATTTCTTGAAGAGCTAAGTAAGTTTTTTCCTGCAAATAAAGAGCAAAATACCAGGAAAGCAGCAAGAGAAAGAGGGGGCTATTGAAGGATGGAAATCTCAGAGGAAAGGAGGGGCTAGACTGCATGGGTAGAGGGAGAAATCCTGTGAGGCAGAAGCCACTTTGGCCATTTTACAGGGTGGCAAGGAAGGAAGCTGGGGGCACTCCAACCTGCTACCTGATTTGCTCCACTTTCAGTGTCCCTCAGCAAAAATCCCACTCAGGAGGACCTCCTTTCCCATTCCCTATAGCAGCTGCCCTGTGCCTCACCTACAAGACCATCCACTGAGTCAGACATGGAGACTGGATGACCCTAGAGGGCTTTTCCTCTCCCTGGCTTAGTGGTTTCATGTCAGAAACTACTGGCAGATTTTTCAAGTTATTTTCTTCTACTTCTAGGAAACCCTTTCTGAGTGGTGTTGCATCTTGGCAGAAGTGGAGGAGAACCTGCTTGGTCTAAGGACTGGTCCTTAGGGATGTTGCAGTCAAGTTCCATACTCACTGGCCTCTTTGCTGTGGGGACATTCCAATTTGTTCTTCCAGAAATGTTCTAAATTCCAAATAGAATTGATTTCTCCTCTTCTGTCACCTACCTTTTCCCAGCTCTTTTCTTTCCCCATTTTTGCTGCCTACATCTTTCCCACTCTATCTTCCATCTGGAGGCCCTCTCTGGCTACAACCAGGCAGGTGTTCTTCATGAGAGGAAACTTGTGATGGCAAGTAAGGTACAAGAGGGTCTCTGCCATGAACTGAAGACCAGGAACCTCCTCGGTGCAAACTACAGCATGCCAACTTTGCAAAAGGTGGTTGCCCCTTCCAAGACCTCAGCTCCAACGGACAGAACTGAGGTGGAAGAGAAGGAACAAGATGAGTCCAAAACATCAGAGAGCTAAGTGAGCTGCAAAGTGAAGACATGGGGAGAAACCCATAGAATAACGGCCAGAGCTACATCTTGCCCTGGCAGCCTACCAAGGAGCTAGGGAAGTAAAGGATGCAAATTGGGCCACACGCCTCCTTCAAAATGCTTGTTTTACTTCCATGGCTGTATAGATGGGTCCCTCAGACT